GGGCCCTACCCTTTCTGCTTCGTTGGTGTTGACTGTTGCAGGTGTTACGTAACCGGTGTCAGCGAAATGAAAGAAGACTTCGGCGTTGTTACTTTCGCGAGGATTATCCTCATCCATGGGCACGTCGACGGAGCAGTATGGGAGAGGTCCGGCTTCCTCTGAGGCGTTGTCGACGTTCTGTTCATCCCAGTCTGCTTCGTCCGTTGCTGACGCGAAGGCTCGGTCGCCACGAAAACCACTGGTGAGGTCCCGATTCTCGTGCAAGTTGGCGAGGTACGTCTGAAGTGTGAGTCTTTCGTAGAAGATCACGTCACGTGCTGCTACTGTTTCCTTTGTGTGGACGTCGAAGATTCTCCATGCGTTGTAATTTTTCTCGATGCCGAGGTGTAGTCCCCACTGTGCCCGTTGCGAAAATCTTCCCGCTCGTGCTTCTGGGGGCCTGTACTGTACCATGCACCCGAAAACTCGTAACATTTTTGTGCTGCCCTGCTTCCCTGTCCACAGCAGATGCGGTGACGCGTTGTTCGGGAGTGACGACGAAGAAAGCAGGTTGTGCAGCATGACAGCGTGGTCCATTGCTGCAGGCCACTGGTGGTTGGGAAGTCGCATGCCACGCAACAGCTTGCGCATGCTGTTCTGCAGAGTTCTGTTCATCCGTTCTGCGACGCCTTGCTGTTGATGGGCGTAGGGGAGGGAAAGGAGTTGCTTGATTCCTCGTTCCGCCAGGTACTGCTTGAAGCGGTGAGAGGTATACTCTCCTCCTCCGTCTGACTGAAGGCTTTTTAGTTTAGCTCCCGATTCCCTCTCTGCTACCGGTAGCCAGGCTGCGAAAGCTGCGAGCGCCATGTCGCGGCTGGGTAGGTTACGATGCCAGACGTATCGAGTGGCGGCGTCGATGAAGGTGATGGTGTAGTTATAGTTAACTTGTCCTGGATCGCGATTGTAGAGTATGTCGCTGTAGACCTTTTCGAGTGGTGCATATGCTGGAGCGCTCGGGTTGTGATGTGGAGTAAACGGTCGATGAGGTAAGTCGGCTTCGGGACATGTGGTACAAGTCCTTCGTGCCTTCTGGAGTTCTCTGCCGTCGGGTAGAAGTAGAGAGTCTTTGTCAAGGACTCCAGCTCTTATCGTATTGTTTAAAACCGTGTTGCTTGGATGTCCTGTGCGTGCGTGCCAGATGTCTTCAGAGGCGCGGTGTCCGGGTGAACGCTGGTATGCGTCGGAGTTGGAATAAAAGCTGGCGACGAGGTTGGCGCTTCGGTGGACTTCACGTTGAGTCGCATTCAGCTGTTGCGCGGGTGTTGGTGGTTCTTCGTCGACTGTGACTGGTGTTGTTGTTTCTGCTACTGCTGATGTTGCTGCTGCTGTCGTTGATGTTGTCTCTGCCGGTGCCGATGTTGTCTCTGCCTGTGCCGATGTTGTCTCTGCTGCTGCCGATGTTATCTCTGCTTCTTGTTGAATCATTGCTAACGCTCTGGTTCGTTCTGCTTCAGGAATAGTGTGGGAGTACCAGAAACCTCCCGGGCTGAAGTCGGGGTCAAGATCCGGAGGGTGTGTCCAGTCAGCAAAATTCACAATGGCGTCGCTGTCTGCAGTGCCGAGGTCGGGGACGAAGTCGAGGACGAAGACGTTGTTCTTCAGCACTGCTTTCCCGATGTAGAGACCGCCTCTCCCGTGGTAAAGCTTGAACTCCTGGGTTGTGCTGTCGGCTTCGAGATGAATTCCTTTCGCCATCAACTGGCTCACACTCAGTAAGTTATAACCGAGTCCTTCAGCGATGAGTACCTTAGACATGTTCAGTATGACGTTTGTTTCCCTTGACTGAAGCTGAACCACTCCTTGTCTTCGTGTGCGCAGGTTTTGGTTATTGGCAACCGTGATGATTACTTCTCGTTGGAGTCGATGTTCGCGTTGGACAAAACGCCCGGACGAGCACATGTGTTGCCCGCAGCAACTGTCCAGGAACCAGGTGTCTTGGCCGGATGGTTCGCTTTGAGCGATGGCGGCGTAAGTCGGATTTGGATGGAGTGATTTGCGACGAGGCGTCCTGTTGTCGAGCTCCTCTTCCGGTGAGTAATGGGGTGGTGACTTTGTTACGCAAGAGTCGTTTATCTTGACCATGCAGTTGATTATATTTCTTGCTTCTTGTGCAGGTTGTCCAGTTGAGGTCGTTGGAGCTTGAATCGCAGTTGTTGAGCTTGCTTGTGTTGAAGCAACTTGGGTGCTTGAAGGCCGCAGTTGTCGCTGTGGTGTTATTTGTCGAGACGGGCAGTGCGTGCGTGGGTGTCCTGATGTCTTGCAGATGTGACAAAAAGGAGGTACTAACTTGGGCTGTTGCTGTCGATTGTTGAAGTTGTTGTCTCGTCGCTGAGTGTGGAAGGCAAACTCCGGTGTTGATGCTCTTTTCTTGTGTCTTTCTTCTTGCAGGTCCATATCCTGCTGCTCGGCGTGAATTTCGGCGAAGAGTGCCGCTTCGGAGATTCTCCCGTGGGCTCGGAGAATTGCTTTGGTGGCGCGCCACTGAGGACCGAGGCCACCGATGACGACTGTTACGAAGGCGTCTTCAGAGATTGACCCTCCGCATCGAAGAAGCTTGTCGCGCAATTCGCGACATCGGCTGATATACGCCAACCCTTTTTCTCCTGGTTTCATTTCAACTGTTGTCAACTGCGCCATTAACCTGCTCTGGTTCACACTGTCTGTTGCCTGGTACAGGTTCTTCAGATGGCCGTACGCGAGTTCCGCCGAGTTGCCGAAGTTCCGGTAAGAGCGAATGTTCTGCTGCTGGGTTGGTGTGATGTTTCTCAGTAGAATAGTATACGCCATCATGGATTGATACGTATACTGTTGTTTCTCGTACTGTGTCCCGTTTGCTGGATACTGCAGGGATCCGTCGAAGAAGCCGAGTATCTGCGCGCCCTCCATCATCAACTCGAATTCAAAGGACCAGGTAAAGAAGTCCTTTCCGTCGAAAGGTCTTGACGTCTGTAGTTTCAGAACATGCGCGAACTGCGACTGCACTTGTAAAGCATCCATTGGTTTGTCTTGCGCAGGTGGAGGTTGAGGCAGGAAGCTGATCGATCCACGTTCGTACGGGGCGAAGGTGGGTTGCTGCTGTTGATTCCCTCGCGCGTATGACGACCCGTCAAGGCTCATGGGTCCCGCTCCATTGTTGTTGTTGTGTGTCTGTGCAGGTCCCGACTGTTGGTGTTGCTCGTAGAAGGACATGAAGGAGAAAAATTTCTCCATCATGTTCTGGTCGAAGTCAGAAGGATGATTCGTGGGCGTCTCGGTTGACGTTCCCCTTGGTCTTGCTGCTGTTCCTTCCTCTGTCTGCAGGCCAGAGGCTGGTGGTGGAGTGGGAGTAGTGCCCGAGGAGCCATTAGGAGAGCTCCTTTCCTTGTTTGTTGCCATGTCTTGTAAAATGACTTTGAAGGAAGTTCAGAGTTTTCCCCTGTCTGCTCTCATACCATGTTGGGCTGAAAAGCCCTTAGGATCTTTGCAAGGGATAACTCTTGGGTAGAGACTTGTAATAGCGGAAGCGTTCTTAATGAAGATTGTGAACCGACCTTGCACTGGTGTGTGAGAGCAAAGTAGATTGAATTAAACAAGCAAGTACAGGGATTTATATAAGAGTACAGGGAATACGAATAGATGGATAACTGTATTGCTGTTGCGGTTCGATATAGTGCGACTCGGGCAACTGCTCTGTAACGAGTCAGTTGTGTGTCCTTAACTGTCGCGCTGTAATTGTCAAGTCAAAGGTCGCTGACCTTTGACTTTCTCGTAACCTCCAGGCGGTTACCTTAACCTCCGAGGTTGACTCGGTGCTTCGATTGGGACTGCTTCGATTGGTGCCTTTGGACTTTAACGCGACAGAAGCGCACTTAAGACTTGTTGTTTCCAACAGACGGGACGGGGGGGGAACAGGCGGGCACGACGCGACGGGGGGAACGGGCGCGACGCGACGGGGGGAAAGGGCGTGACGCGACGGGGGGAAAGGGCGCGACGCGACGGGGGGGGGGGGGGTGGGGGGGGGGCGCTAGGCGACGGGGAGAAAGGGCGCTAAGCGATGGGGGAAAGGGCGCTAGGCTCGGTACTAGGCGCGGTAACAACGGAACCGGTACGAACGAGAGGTAGGATCAGGCTCGGTAGGTACGAACGGAGAACGGACGAACGGGATCCCACAGGATCCTAACCTAGCTGATACCATGTCAAAATGAGGAATGGGTGATCCATTGATGTTGGTTGGGGTACATATAACAAACCCTAACTTCTGTACCCCCTAAGACAAACCTCACTACAGTCTACAACATTTGACAATTGGCTACAAAAGTTTGACAACTTCTCAACCAGAGCACATGTCAGCCACTCCCCTCCCCTCTCCTTGAGTCAGATTATCGGTGCCAACACCTCACTTGGAAACAACGCACTGAGGGGGGAAACGTGGGCGACGCGGAAATGAAACATAGTGCAAGCACAAAAGGCGTAACAAAAACTTTCATACAGCAAACTTAACCAACATCAGAGTAGAGAAAAATATTACTCTGACGTGCCTAGGTTTTATTTTTTTAAGTGTAGGGTTACTCTGACAAATCAGAGTAAGGCGCATGAACAACCCTAGATTTCAGAGTTGGGAAAAAAACTACTCTGGAAATCAGAGTACCTAGAATCCAAAAGTGGTGTTTTGTGTAGTTCGGGGCATCCGCATATTGCAGATGCTCGGAACAGTGCTGATGACCCGAAGTTGGATACGCCCTAACACCCATGCGTAACAATTCTGAGGTGAGTTCGAGGCCTGTCCGGGGGGTCAACCGGGCCCTTGGATGGGAGATAAATACGGTAGCTCTAGACTGGCTTGCACCCAACACCCAGCACAGAACTACACTAGACGGTGAGATTTCACAATGGCATACTTACCGGTACATCCACTCTCATGCAACACATGCCCAGCCATATCATATCCTACAGAAATATGGCCAAGGATCCCCCCTACTACATCACGGGATTGGGGCCAGGGGAGCCTCTGGCACCAACACACCCTTGAGCTCGGCACCCCATGTGGCACCAGAAGCGGAGCTCGCAGCCAGCACAGCATACCCGGTCACAGTAAGCGGCTCACCCATGTTGCCCGAGCCCTTAGCAGAATTCTTCTTGCCTCCCTGGTTCTTCTTCTTCGCCCCCCCCACGGCCTTCCCAAGGGACTTAAACAGGTCAAACAGCAGCATCCTCCCCTGAACACCACTCTCCATGCCCTTGCGCCGGTTCCCAGAAGCTCCACCGGTAGAAGTAACTGCACTATCGGGAATGCTGGGAATCGCGGCGAGCAGGGTTGTCAGCGTAGCCGGATCTGCGTTCTCCAGAAATCCGTCAAGGCGCATTTCGGAGTGCAGCAGCCACCAGCCAGAGTGGACGATCCAATCGGTGGTGGCGATGGGGAGGGAGAGGAAAGACGTGGCCGCGGCGTCGCACGCAGCGCCCTGGGTGATTGCAAGGGAATCGGGCGGGCCTCCAGTTGCGTCCACCAGCATGGCCTGGAACACAATGTTGTAGTTGCCACTGTCGTTCCTGACACACAGCAGACACGCAGACCACACAGGTACGGTGGACAGATAGATGTGTGTGGGGTCCGCAAATGAACATGGGCATCATTTCTCGAACATCCGTGCATAGGTGATTCGATTGAGAACACGATCGAGCGCTTCTGCTGCTAGGCCAGATGCGCGCCGCGCGCCGCGACGCACACTCACTTGAAGATGCCGAATCGGAAATCCGCGTGTTCCGTGGGGAATGCAGTGGAGCAGTTGGCGAGTCGAGCGCCACCAGCGGCTGGTGCGGGGAGCAGTGCAGGGGAGCAGACGGGGTGGCGCAGAGGGAGGGCGGGATAAGATAATGTTTGCATTCAAGCGCCCCACTGACAGATGGCGAGAGAGAGAGGAGGGAAGCGGAGCGAGGGGTGAAGGCAATAACAAGCAATCAACAGAGGCGCAGAAGTGCAGAAGTGATACGTCAGCAGATGAGATCAACTCCACACCACAGCCGACCTCCCAGCTTCCCTTCCGCAGTTTCCCCCGTCCCGTTTTCCCCCACCCGTTGCCCCGAGCCCCGCGCGACCGCAAGTCTCGTCCCCGGACCCAAGAGTGCGAGCGCGACGCGACAAGCACGCACCGGTCAGATTGCCCACAACCTTCAGGTTTAACGGGCCGAACACCGGCGGAGGCCCCATGGGCGGGCCGCCAGGTGGTCCGCCTGGGCCCCCCTGTCCGCCTGGCCCCCCCCGCCCCCCTGGGCCCCCTTGTCCGCCGGCGCCGCCACCAGGGGGACCGCCATTAGGCGGACCTCCTCCGCCCTGTCCGCCGGGTCCGCCGAATCCGCCAGGCCCGCCGTATCCGCCAGGTCCGCCAGGACCACCTGGTCCGCCAGGTCCGCCGGGGCCTCCCCCAGGGGGCCGAGAGAGAACTGTACGTGCATGAAAGACAATGGAGGACGGGGACCGGGTATTAGGTGTTGTGGGGGGCTTATGCGGGGAGGAGGGGAGGGGAGGGGAGATATGCGGGAGAAGGAGAAATGCAAGCAGATGCCACGTGGCGGTGAGGGGTGATGCGGGAGATGGCTCGGAGACGCAAGGGGGGGAAGGACGGTTGGCAGGCTGCCGCGCTTGTCGCGAAGTGACTGTCCTCACGTCCGGGGTGCGGAAGGTTGACCCGCAACCCGCGGGGTTGGCTTACCGGGAGTGATTGCTAGGAGAAGGATAGCCAAAGCTGCTAACGGTCTAGTGCCCATCGTGGTCGCAACAAGCTTGAGCGGAATGGGTGAGAGCAGAAGCGTGGTAAATCGAAACACTTTCCAACGTCAGTGCCGTCCGATCAAAGTTACGCATGTGAAGCGCCAAGGCTGTGCGGCTGCGGGAGAGAGAACAACACGACCAGAATGTGGATGTGGTTGCTCCGTGCTGCGTTGTGTTGAGTGATCCTCCTCTGCACGAACGTGGTTGGGGTTCGAACTCTGGAAGCGGAAGAAAAATGTTGACCAAAAATGTGTGAGAAGCGGAAACAAGTGCGAGGCGGAAAACGACGGTGGAAGGATGGGGCACATTTGGCACCATGCGGACCCATTCATTATTTGGCAAATCTCAGGGCCCATTCGTATCACGTGTGACGTGTCTTATATCAGGTCAAACATTGGAGGTTCGAAAGACCCTAACGTTTTCGAGCTTCAGGGAAAACGAGGAGGTGAAGACGGAAATTGGAGAGCAGGGGACGATCTGACAGGCAATACGAATGCGCCCTCATTCTTTCGGCAGGACTAGAAGTTTTATGCATACCCTAGTTATGGAGTACACTTGCTAAGTTAGGACGTGTTACGGTTGTGAAAGATAGAACAAGGAATGAACAGCACAAGGGGGGTTTCACTAGCACGCAGTTGAGTACATATAGCAAACCCTAACAGGGCCGTACTCACTATAGAGTACCCCATTGCAGACTAGAGAAATATAACATTCTGACACACCCCCATAGTCAAGGTGAGGTATAATCCATACAGCAACCATGCATAGAATAGTTCACAAGTACAAGTAAAGTTAGAGGCAGTCGCAGAGGGCAAGTGAGGAGGAGTGACTTTGAGAAGAGAGGAGATGGGAGGTGAGGAAAAGTAACTTTTAACTCTATCTTGCTCTCATACCATGCTGGGCTGAGACGCCCTAGGATCTTTAGTAGAGTTAAAGTCTGAGTAAACGATGTAATAGCGGAAGCGTATTGAGTAAAGTCCTTGAACCACCTTGCGCTAAGTTGATTAAAGCAAAGAGATTCGGGAATATATATATGAGTACAGAGAATATGAAGAGACGTAACATTAACTACTTTACTGTTGCGGTTCGATACAGTGTGACTCGGGCAACTGCTCAATGTCGAGTCAGTTGTGTGTCCTTGCTGTCGCGCTGCACTTGTCAGGTCAAAGGTCGCTGACCTTTGGCTTTCGCGTAACCTCCAGCGGCTACATCAACCTCCGAGGGTTGACTCGCTGGTGCTTCGATTGTGTTGCTTCGCTTGTGTCTTGGAGTTCCGACACGACAGAGGCGTTTAAGACTTATTTGTTCCCAACACTCCCCTTCCCTTCTGGAGTGTCGCTTATGGTGACGTGGCTCTCAGGGCCCGTGCTAGGATTTGGGGCATCCTGAGCCCTCAGGGCACATTTCTGGAATCTTAAAAAATGCCCTGATTTGTCAGGGCAAATTTTCCAAGCCTTCCTGTATGTTCAGGGCTTGTGCAGAAACTAATCCTGACCTATCAGGGCAAAAACTATAGTGTTCAGGGTTCAGATTTTAGCACAGACAAAGACCAGACTCTGTGATGCAGAGCAGCCGCATCACACATATAGTAGGTGTTTTACTACCCAATTAACCCCTTCGCCAGCAGCGCCGTAGTTTGTGCCGTGTCCTGCGTGCTTGATACACAAATTGCACCTCACAGATGGGAAACCGAAGGAAGTTTGACAAAGCATGAGCCACGGGAAATCAGTTGACCATTCCCGTTTGTGCTTCATAAGCGCCTCCTGGTATTTATCCTCTGCCTCATCGCGCAGTTCCTCCGTCGATGAAGATGCAGCAGGAACGGCCGATGGTCCTGGTACAGCTGGCTCTAAGCGGATACATACGGTGGGTTCCGTAGGACTCTCGCGAGAGAACGACAAGCGCGACTGTTTGTGCTTGGTAGCTCTTAATTTAGCGGTAGGGGCAGGGTCGATGCGTGTCGCACCAGGGGCACAACGTTTGTGCTGTTCGTACTAGCACAGGCGGGTGTGACTGCGGGAGTTCGAGATGAACCAGGTGTAGGTGAGGCCATTGGTAACGTGGACACCACTCGAACAGGACGCAAGAAATCTAAGCCGGTAAGACCTCCTGATACTGGCGTCGCGCCATCGTTTTCGTTGGCCATGACTAGTACGACTGAGCCAGCCGAGCTTCACTTGTGCTACTCAAACAGCAACACTGGAAGAGTGTTGGTTGGGTTGGATGGAGGAGTGCTCAGAGAGACACCCAGCTAGTGCATGCATGGCACACGACGAGTTGCCTTGCCCAACCTGTTCCCCCTAGTCTGATGGGTTTGTCTTGGCTGTTGCGTTGCGGGGGATCGGAACAGAACTCTCAAAGATCATGCGAAGGCGGGAAACACACACGGGGGAAAAAATAATCGGAGACGAAAGTCCCCGGGGACGAAACCCCCCCCCCCCCCCCCCCCCCCAAAAAAAAAAAAACGCGTCAGGGCTGGCCTTGATATTCATCCTGACGCTACAGGGGGGAACACTACGGCCATCCTGAGAGTTCAGGGCTTTGCATATAAAAACGTCCTGGGACCTCAGGGTGAAAATTGGCACTATTCTGAAATGACAGGGTAAATTCAAAACTGCATCCTGAATTCAGGGTAATCAGGATTTTTTGCCCTGATAACGTGGGCCCTGGTGGCTCTGTCCAGTCAGCAGCATGCAGTACTCGAACTTCTGTTTTCCGAGTTTCTTGGTCAAGTAGTCAGCTGTCATCTCGGACGTGGGACTGTAGGATAATTCAAGTTTCCCTTTCTCGATCTCGTCCTTCACGAAGAAATATCGCAGATCGATATGCTTCGTTCTGTTTGTCAGAACATATAGCTTACCTGTTTGTGTAGGCTACAGTGGGGTATCCCATAGGGGGTACACCCAATTAGGGTTTCCTATTTGTACTCATTTTCTGACTTAGTCATCTCATTCCTCTTTTTCTGTTTCACATGGTATAGAGCGGTTCCTTCCCAAGGACCGATTTTTTTTAGGGCCCACCGAAGCGCGCCCCCCGAGGCGCGAATTTTTTTTAGCGACCCCCTCCTCGGGTCGCGTTTTCTCTCACGGCCCCGCAGTCCTTCAGACGCGGCCCCGCCCCCTTCTCCTGATCGCGGCCCCGCCGCCCACCCGGTCGCGGCCCGCTGTCTCCTCAGACGCGGCCCCGCCGCCGGCGCTTACCCGGCCGCGCCGCCGGCCCCTACACGGCCCCATCGGCCGCCGCGACGGGGCCACGCCTCCGGTTCTGACGCGGCCCCGCCGCCGGTTTGTCGTGGCCCCGCCGTCGGCTCCTGCTGAGGCTCCGCCGCCGGCTCCTACGAGGCCCCGCCGGCTCCTACTGCGGCCCCGCCACCGGCTCCCATTGCGGCCCCGCCGGCTCCTACTGCGGCCCCGCCGGCCCCTATTGCGGCCCCGCCACCAGCTCCTCCTGCGGCCCCGCCAGCTCTCCAGCGGCCCCGCCGCCGCTTCGACGCTGCCCCGTCGCGGCCCCTACCGTGGCCCCGCCGCCGCATCTGCTGCGGCTCCGCCACCGGCTCCTACTAGGCCCCGCCGACGGCCCCGCCCGTCCCTGTCCCGGCCCCGCCGCTACACCGCTGCCGGCCCGCCGCTGCACCTCTGACGGCCCCGCCCGTCCCTGCCGGCCCGCCGCTGCACCTCTGACGGCCCCGCCCGTCCCTTCTCGGCCCCACCGCTGCACCTTGACGGCCCGGCCGTCCCATTTGACGGCCCCGCCGTCCTCTGTCCCGGCCCCGCCACTACACTGCAGCCGGACCGCCCAGCCACAGCCGAGCCGCCCAGCAGCACCTGGACCGCCGAGCAGCAGCCGAGCCGCCCAGCAGCGGCCGAGCCGCCCAGCAGCAGCTGGACCGCCCAGCAACGGCCGAGCCGCCCAGCAGCAGCCGAGCCGCCCAGCAGCAGCCGAGCCGCCCAGCAGCAGCCGGACCGCCCAGCAACGGCCGAGCCGCCCAGCAGCAGCCGGACCGCCCAGCAGCAGCCGAGCCGCCCAGCAGCAGCCGAACCGCCCACCAGCAGCCGGACCACCCAGCAGCAGCCGAGCCGCCCAGCAGCTGCCGAGCCGCCCGGGAGTCGAGCCGCCTTTCTGCTTAGCTGCACGACCTGCCCTGCCTGGTGAGCTCAGTCCCTCTGTCACTGCGCCCTCTTTCCCTACTGCTTGCACTGCTTCGCTGTCGTCGCCATGGCTACCCCCAGTGTCCTAGCCTTTGACGCTGAGGGTCGCGCCATTGATTTTGAGGTCTGACTAGACGACCTGCAGCTTTTCTTACAGTGTGACAGAGCTGACGGCCTTTCTCTCTTTGACCTCACCTCTGGCGCCTCTCCTGCTCCTGCTGCTGATGCTGATCCCACTGTCCGCTCTCAGTGGGCCACCCGCGATGCTGCTGCACGTCTTGCTGTGCGTCGCCACCTCCCTACCTCCGAGCGTGCGCACTTTAGTCAGTACAAGAGTGCTCAGACCTTGTACGACGCTGTAGTTGCGCGCTACTCCTCCCCTGCCACTGCTGCACTAAGCCGTCTCATGCTTCCCTACCTCTTTCCTGACCTCTCTGCCTTTCCCACTGTCGCTGACCTCATTACGCACCTCCGCACTAGTGACACTCGCTACCGCGCCGCCCTTCCTGCTGAGTTCTGCGCTAAGAACCCCCCCCCCCATGTACATCACTCTCTACTACGTACTCGCGCGCCTCCCTGACTCCCTTCGTGTAGTCAGGGACCACTTTCTCGCAGTCTGTCCCACCACTCTCACCGTCGACCTCCTCGAGAAGGCCCTCCTCTCAGCTGAGAAGAGCATAGTTGCTGTAGGGGCTTCTCGTGGTGACCCTCGCACCCCCATCTTTGAGGGGTGCTCTCCTTCCCCCTTGCTGCCCTCTGTTGCCTCTGCTGCTGCTGCCGACCTGCTTGGCCTTGAGTCGGTCGGCGCGGCGTCTGCCCCTAGTGGGAGACGTCGCTCCAGCAAGGGCAAGGGGGGCAAGGGTGCGGGTGGAGCTGGAGGGAGCGGTGGAGGTGGCGGAGGTGGCGGCGGCGGGAGTGGGGGTGGCGGCGGGAGTAGTGGTGGTGGTGGTGGTGGTGGCAGCGGCGGCGGAGACGGTGGTGGTGGCGGCGGTGGTGGTGGAGGTGGCAGCGGCGGAGGTGGAGGCCGCGGAGGTAGAGGCGGCGGAGGCGGTGGAGGCGGCGGTGGAGGAGCAGGAGGTGGTGGAGGGAGCGGATCTGGTCGGGGTGGTACCCAGCAGCGTAGTGGCGGTGGTGGTGGCCAGCGCTCGCAGCGGCAGCAGCAGCAGCGCTCGCGCGACATCCCTCCGCCCCAGCAGCTTCGTGAGTGGTACGCTGGGCGCCAGAGGGGTGGGGGTACTGGCCCCTGCACCTACGTTCTTCGTTCCGGCGACCGCGCGGGTGAGCAGTGTGGGGGTGCCCACGCCACTGCGCGCTGCTTTGGCCGCCTGACGGACGCTTGGCGTTAGCAGTTCCCCGG